TGCAGCTATAAAGATGTGCTAAGAACACATCATGCCCTACTTCAATTGTTTTTTTTGTTTTGTTTTTTTTAAAGATTTTATTTATTTATTTGAGACAGAGAGAATGAGAGAGACAGAGAGCACATAGGAGGGGGGAGGGTCAGAGGGAGAAGCAGGCTCCCTGCCGAGCAGGGAGCCCGATGCGGGACTCGATCCTGGGACTCCATCCTGGGACTCCAGGATCATGACCTGAGCCGAGGGCAGTCGCTTAACCAACTGAGCCACCCAGGCGCCCCATGCCCTACTTCAATTGTAACGTTTGTTTTCTGTGTAGAACAGAAAATAAAGCTTTGTTTTAATTATATGGTGTCTTAGATTAGCTGGTGTAGTGTCCTATGAACACAGGCAAATTCCTTTTCATAAGCAATGACAACCGCTCTCCCGAAACTATTATCCTTTCATCCAGTCATTTTTCTTAAAGGTTTTATTTTATTTTTTTATTAGAGAGAGAGAGAGAGAGAGCACATGTGCACAAGCAGGGGGAGGGGCAGAGGGAGTGGGAGAAGCAGACTCCCCGCTGAGCAGGGAGCCCAATGCGGGGCTCAATCCCAGGACCCCTGAGATCATGACCTGAGCCAAAGGCAGACGCTTAACTGACTGAGCCACCCAGGCGCCCCTCATCCAGTCTTTCATATGTTCACTACACATAGGCACATACGGTTGTCCCACTTACTTGTGGTTTTGCTTTCCATGGTCTCAGTTACCCGAGGTCAGGGTCAGTTGGGGACCGATCTTCCTTCTGATGTAGCATCACATCAGAAGCCTGCATCACATGCCTGTGTCACTCATTGCACTTCATCTCATCATGTAGACAATTGATCATCTTTCATCGTCGCAAGAAGAAGGGTGTATACAGGAAGAGAAGGTATTTTGAGAGAGACAGAGAAACCACACTTGTACAACTTTTATTACAGTATATTGTTATAAGTGTTCTATTTCATTATTAGTTATCCTTGGTAATCTCTTACTGTGCTTAATTTATAAATTCAACTTTATCATAGTTAAGTATATATAAGAAAACACATAGTGTATATAGGATTCGGTATTCTCTGTGGTTTTGGGCACCCCCTGGGGGTCCTGGAACATAGACCACATGGGTAAAGGGGGGGGGACTAATTACATGTGAAAAAAAAACTTCAAATGCCATTATTTTCCATTTTAATTCACTCAGATATATTGCTGATATATTCACATATATTAACTATATCCTTTTACAAAACAAATCTTCATTAGCCATTGTACTTTTTTATGTTGATAGTTTCAGGTCTCGATAATTTATTCTAAGTGCCCTATAGTATTTTATCATATTAGAACACAATCCTTTATATTCATCCATTAAACCCTATACTGATTTTTAAATTATTGGCATGTTTTCTGCTCTTACAAAGAGGCTAAGAACCGTTTCATGTGTGCTTTTTGCTAATGTTCGAGAGTTTCTTTGGAGAGAGTCCTGGTCAAGCCCACCTTAAGTTTAGAAGTTGTTACCAAATCACCGTTCCAGTTAGAACAACTCTCCATAGTGCAGGTGTGTTTTTCTAGTGCTGGAGAAAACTTCCTTTTGAAACCAAGCTCTACCACTAATTAGCTATGTGGCCTTTGACCGGTTACTAACTTCATTGCTTCAGTTTCCTCACTCATAAAAACCCAAGTCATAGATTTCTAAGAGAATTGGATGAATATGAAGTGCTTAGAACAGTGGCAAGCACATAACAAGTGTAAGCCATTATTATTAAACCATTGATAAAGTTACTAGTATTTTTTTTAAAGATTTTATTTATTTATTTATTTATTTGAGAGAGAGAATGAGAGAGAGAGAGAGAGCATGTGATGGGGGACGGTCAGAGGGAGAAGCAGACTCCCCGCTGAGCAGGGAGCCCGATGCGGGACTCGATACCAGGACTCCAGGATCATGACCTGAGCTGAAGGCAGTCACTTAACCAACTGAGCCACCCAGGAGCCAAGTTACTAGTATTTTATATCTGTCACTTTCCTATTTGAAATGGCATTCTCCTGCTTACCAGAGAATTTCTGCTTCTTTTCTCATATTTATTGGTTATTCTTTTTTGTTTGTATTCTTTGTCCAATTTTCTATTTTATTTCCAGTCTTATTTATTTATTGAAGTCATTTATAAGACACTGTTAATGTATTGATAGTACACACAGCTTAATCTCCTCTCTATCTTTGATTTTTATCACATTACTATATGTATGATGTTTATGGTCAAACAGCAATTGTCAAATGTACTATTTTGATATTGATTCATCCTTCCCATTATAATTTGTGTTTGGGAACCCTATTTCCTTATTCCAAAATCATGAGAGTATTATTCTGTTTACTTGTGTAAATGTTTTATGCTTTGCTATTTATATTTGGGACTTAAATTCATCTAGAATTCATTTTTACACATGGCATGAGATAGAGATCAGCGTTCGTTTCCTTTACTAATAATCAGCTCATTCTTTATGACTAATGCATGAAACAGCCCCCTTTCATACCCCAAATCCACACCCATGTGTGGGCTTAGGTTGAGTTCTCTAGTTTGTCCAGGTGATCTCTTCTTCTGGTGTCTGCACCAGGACCACAGTATTTAAGGATTATGGCTTTCTGGAGTTTTTATTGAGATGCAGCGGACATGGGTTTCTAAGTGTCCAGATGGGTAAATTTTCACGAGCCCTCAGATCCAGAGCATTTACCGCACTCCAGAAGCCCTGCTTTCACCCCTCTGCGATCACCAGCACCTTGGCCAAGGCACCACCGACCCGACTTCTACGGTGTGGCTTAGTTTTACCTGGTTTTATACTTTATCTTATTGAATGTTCTCTCGTGTGTCTGACAGATTCCACTCAACATTATGTTCGTGAGATTCATCCGATTATTTTTTTATAGCTGTAGGTCATTTATTCTATGAAAAAAATTATTTCCCCTATGATTTTAAATGACTTCAAACATATGAAAAATTTGCAGATAAATAGCACAAACAACTTTTTCCCCAACAATTTTCAAATGACTTGCTGGTATGCTGTCCCATCAGCCTTGAATACGTGCATTGTGCGTTCGGTGTGTAACCTCCATATCACCCCTGGAATCAGGAAACTGCTCCTGATGCACTGTGACCATGCAGTCAAGATGCCTCACTCAGGTCTTTCCCATCGTCCCACTGATGCCCACAGAGCCAAAGACCCAGGCCGCCATGACAGGATGGGTGCACTTTCACCTTGTCTGGACACTTTCCTCCATCTTCTGATGAGCTTTCCACCCTTGACGGCCTTGAAGCTCCAGGCCAGTCACTTTGGGAAAGAAAAATTAAGTTGGTCTGATATTTCTTCATGACTCAGACATCTCCCTATCATTCAGTGTTTATTCTAATATAACAGAATTTACTAGAAACTCAAAAGGACTAAACATACTGACACCATGGCCATGCTCATAAATCACTGTGTCACTGAAATTAAGTTCATTTTTGTTTTTCTGAGAAGTTTGTGAGTTCTTCTGTGTTTCAGCTGCAGGTGCTTTCTACTCGGATCAAAAATCCTTTCTGTCTTATGGTACTGAAATGAAATGTTGCTGAGCGAGGTTGTGTGTGATGTAAATCCCCACGGGTTCAGCTTACTTCATGGGTTTCTATCAAACTGGATGTGTGTGGGATGCTCTGCTTAAGGACAGCAGAATAATTTCAAGCCTGTGAACCGAGTAATGAGGGATCAGACAGCCGCCTCTATTTTATCATTATGAATGCTCAAAACGTGCTGCAAAGGGCGTAATTCCCCAGGCGTTTTGTAGATACAAATGAGTCTCAGACGTGGCGCTTCCCTGGCGTTTGGATATGGAAATAAGGCAGCTGTGCCCTGAGGCGGGGGCCTGCACCTTCTCACCGCTGTCTGTCTCCCGCACTGCTTGGCAGGTGTCTCGGCTCTACCTCAGCAGCACGGGGCAGCCCTGCTCCTCCTCCCTGCCGCCTCACATCTTCTCCTGCGCCGAGAGAGCCTTCCACCAGCTTTTCCAGGAGCAGCGGCCCCAGTGCTTCATTCTCAGGTGAGCCCGCCCCTCGCCTGCCCCTCGCTCGCCCACCCGCTGATGATGCGCTGATGATGCGCTGATGATGCGCTGATGATGCGCTGAGGCAATGCCCGGGGCTTGGGCGTGAGACCCTTCTCCTTGCCTATGGTTCACGTTTATTGACTTCCTCAGCACCTGGCGGTCCAGCGTGTCTTTGCAATAAGTAATTGGACTCGTTACCAAGGAGAAACATCTCTGTTCTTAGGAATAGCCCCAAGTGGGGCGGAATCAATATCAACACACTTAACCTGAAACTCAATTCATTTTGAAGATTTACTACTTAGGACCAGAGTGTTTTTGCTTTCAAACCTCAGGAATCCCCGGGAAAGAAAGGCACCTGCTATTACGCCCACTGTGTGGTGTGGTCCAAAATACAAATTATTACCCTGCAGTTGTGGGTTTTCTCACCTGCTTCTAGCTATTTACCTCTGCTCATATTTTACCAAAAGTATACACCCGGACATATTTTACACTGAAATATCATGGTAACGTGAGCTCATGAATAGCAAGAAGCTCAGGACAATGATTCACATTGGAGCAAACACCCACACATACCCACACACACACGAACCGCAAGACGTAGAGGTGAAATGTGATTATGTATTGATAAAGGATTAAAGAATTATTTCAGTGTTAATATAAGATCTGCAATGGGAATTATGTTTCTTATTAGGAGCAACCTCTACCAGAGGGGACTTCTGGAAATCCTCAAGGCTTTGCCCGAGTTATAATCAGTCATGTTGGCTGCAACTGAATGTTGTCAATAAAGCTTTGCCCAACTCATCAAAGTGAAATGAAAGATAGGACACATGGACACCTGGATAGAACCCAAAAGACATTTATTTATGGTTTTAAAAGATTTTATTTATTTATTCGACAGAGAAAGACAAAGCGAGAGAGGGAACACAAGCAGGGGGAGTGGGGGAGGGAGAAGCAGGCTTCCCGCTGAGCAGGGAGCCCGATGCAGGGCTCCATCCCAGGACGCTGGGATCATGACCTGAGCCGAAGGCAGACGCTTAACGATTGAGCCACCCAGGCGCCCCCAAAAGACATTTAAATACTTAAGCACTTACTTACACACTTTTACATTATCAATTTGATCAAAAAGTTCCAGAGAGGGTCAGATAGATGGCTTGCAAACGTCAGTGTTCTGGTTTTCAAAATTGTGAGCAAGTGGTTGTTTTCACCCTTGTTCTGAAGAGTCCCCAGGGAAGGAGAGGCTCTGGGGGCAGGGTGGCCCCAGCCGTTCTTGAATCAAGCAACTGTGTTTTCATCTGCTTTATCTGTCCAATTGTCTAGTCTAACTTTGACCAAAAAGGGGAACACTTTTAAAAAAATCATGAGACTGTGGGGCATGTTGTACCAGTGTGGTAATAACAACTAATGTTTACTGAGAACTTAGTAAGTGCCAGACCCTCCACTAGGTGCTTTCCACATATTCCCTTACCCATTGCTTTAGCAATCTTCTAAGATTGGTATTATTATTAGCATCACGATTTTATGTGTCAGGTGACTGTGTATTAGGAGGAGTAACTCATTAGTCTAGGGTCTTCAATTAGTGAATAGTGAATCTGGGATGTGAGCCCCATAATGTGAATTAGTAAATGGTGATTAATTAGTGTAGGATCCAGTGGATGCTATATGTGGGATGGGAGCCCATAGTCTGGCTTCTGGGCCTGAATGAAGCTTACCCACGAGTGCATGGCCGGCCCCCTGCGGCTACCCCAAGGAGCTTTCCAGCGGCTCACCCGGGCCTCCCTAAAATGATGGCCACAGATCCACGGATTTTCCTAAATTCTTATTGAATCCACTCAATTCTTTTGAAAGACATTGGTCCATAGCAAAGTTCTGAGTTGCCAATGAATTGTATCCTTTGGGAATCTGCCTGTTACAGATTTTACAGTATCCAGCAAGTTCTTTCAGTAAATAAACCTGTTTATCTGTAACCCAGTGCTTTCTACGTGAATTTGCCCATGGAATTGCTTTTCCAGTAGGACTTGTTAATATTCTGCAGAAGCAGTATTTCTTCGGGGCATTTTTAAAGGCTAATAATGCCATGTATCAACCAGTTTTTCTTAAAAAAAAAAATATTTCTTCGTTCAGGTTTCAAGAAATGAAGAACAAATCTGTGATCACAAGGACTTACTATTTTAGTCATTCTCTTTCTTCTTTCAGGATTGATGTTTTTATGTGGCTTTTCTATCTCCTTGATTGTCTTGACTAAGATAAAGGTTTTCTGCATTTATTATACTAATTCATTAAAATTAGTAAATTTAGAAGTCAGCTGAATACATTGTTTAAAGATAATTTTTGAGAGTCTGTTGTGTCTTTAAAAGATTTATTTATTTTTGAGAGAGAGCGGGAGGGAGGGGCACAGGGAGAGGGAGAGTCTTGAGCAGACTCCTCGGGGAGCGCAGAGCCCTATGTGGGGCTCCATCTCACGACCCTGAGATCAGGACCTGAGCCAAAACCAAGAATTGGATGCTTAACTGACTGAGCCACCCAGGCGCCCCAAGAGAGTCTATTCTATCTTACAACCAGCATTTACAAAGGATAATTTAAGACTTGGAGTTCAAAACACAGATATTCCTGGAATAGCCATCCTGTAACTTAGGACTAGGGTGGGACTTTTTAAATTTTATTTTCAAATTTTAATTTTATTTTTCACTTTGTTGATAATTATAGGCCCTACTAGCGCACTAGGCTTCATCTTGAGGAATAATTTTTTAATAATTTTCAGAACTTGGTCCTGGGTTATAACTGAGAGTTTGGTGTTCACCATCATCTATCTTATCTTTAATTTTCTGGAGGCCCTGATAGATGGTTTTAATTAGTTGTTAGAGCACATGTGACAAAAATCCATTATCCTAACAGTGTGTGGAGCAAATCTAAATTAACGTTACATGCTGAACATACAGGTAACTTGGGAAATACGCAGCCTAGGGTCTGCCTTTATCACGTGCAGATTTAGCAGACAAGACTGATCAGATGAGTTTTAAAATTCTTATGGGTCCTGATTGGCACCACCCAAAATCTCTGGTCAATTTCTAATTGAATCACAGTCTGGATTTGCAGGTCAAGGAATGTTTCTTGAACACACTGAGCTAACACTCAACCCTATCCTAACATATCGCATGTCTTTTTTTTTTTTATTTTATTTCCTTGTATGTTACTCAGAGTTTAAATGGAATATGGCCATTTTGAGATTTTATGATATGGCTAAAATGCATGGGATTTTAGCCAGCTAAGAGAACTGACGGCCATTTTCTCTATTCCTACCTGTCCTGATAGAGTGAGCGCTGTGGTGGGAGGAGGGGGGCAGCTCAGCCGCACATCCTCACAGGTCTCTGGGGTCTTCGTGTCCGCAGACTGCTGGCCTCATCCACCTTGTAGACTCACCCCCTGTTTCAGGTTGCATAGTATGTGCTCGGGAAGTCCTGGTTGAGAATTTCTTGTTGAATAATCACTGCCTTCCACGCTACCCCTTCTCCAAGAATCAGCTCAACCCCCACCTCATGGGGAAGTCTTCCCTGGTTTCTTCCACCTCTGGGCACCTTGTTAGCTGTGAACAGAATCTCTCCAAAAACAAGATTTAAGAAACATCCAGTTATTTTGTTAAGTAAGAGAATATTTATAACAGCGAATACAAGTGTAGAAGTTAAATTTCCACCATGAAAGAGCTAAATTGTTTCTTCCCTGAAATGAGAAGGTTAAAAGCAAATGCCTTTGAACCCAGAAAAGGAACTCCTTATCCTGTGCAGGTCTCTGTCACCTGCTTCCCTGAGGCTGCTAGGGTAGTTGTTCCAAACGTTGTTAAAATATTTATGGGGAGTGTAGATGAGGGGAGTAGAAAAGCATTTCTTAACAACTTGAGACCTGAATAAAAGAAGCAAATTTCGGCTTCTTCTTTCCTGGCAAACATCCTTTAATCAAATTCATTAGTACAAATATCAAGGGAGAAGCCTGAGAAATCAGCACTAGTAAAGAGATTTATATATATTTTTAATTTTTAAGCTATCAGATGAATAAAGACTTTTTCATTTCATTTACTTACTGGAAGCAGTAAAAACATTATTTTGTATCAGTAATTACTGTATTGGATTTCTATGTTAATCTTCTCATCTCATGTCAGAAATGTAATATAGTTATTATTTACAGAAATTAGATGAGTTATGGGGTGCCTGGGTGGCTCAGTTGGTTAAGCGTCTGACTCTTGGTTTTGGCTCAGGTCATGATCTCAGGGTCCTGAGGTCCATCCCCAAGTCAGGCTCCACGCTCAGCAGGGAGTCTCCTTGAGACTGTCTCTCTCCCTCTGCCCTTCCCCCTGCTTGCACAGGTGTGCATGCACGCACATTCTTTCTCTCTCTAAAATAAATAAATAAAAATCTTTTTAAAAAAAGAAATTAGAGGGGTGCCTGGGTGGCTCAGATGGTTAAGCATCTGCCTTCGGCTCAGGTCATGATCCCAGGGTCCTGGGATCGAGCCCCGCATCGGGCTCCCTGCTCAGCGGGAAGCCTGCTTCTCCCTCTCCCGCTCCCCCTGCTTGTGTTCCTGCTCTTACTATCTCTCTCTCTGTCAAATAAATAAATAAAATCTTTAAAAAAAAAAAAAGAAATTAGATGAATTATGAAGTATGCCTGAGAAATATCAAAAGTACCGTCATTATAAATAACAAGTTTGGTGAGTGTTCGTTTGTTCCTAGACTGAAGGAAACCTGAACACACAGAACGTCAGACTGAGAACAGCCTCAAGAGGCAACTGGCCATTGGAGGGTCCACCGCGTGCCAGGCACCTTACTCACCTGGTCACATCTGACCATCTTAACCACTTAGTTTCAGGAGTTGCTTGCTTTATGTTCATTTTGAAGAGAAGACAAGGGAAGCTTAGAAAGATTTCATGGGTCTCCCAAGGAAGATGTAATGTCTTTCCTGGAAGGCTCAGAAAGATTTAACAAGGTCATGTGGTGTAGCTCTAGGACACATGCATCCCCACCTTAGCGGCTGTCCCCTGGGGGCCACCTCACTTACCTTCATTTACAAAGCTGAGGACAAGTAGTCATTGTTTTTCTTTTCAGCCTGACCCCTTTCTACTGTAATTCACCTACGTGTGTGGTTCTACCCTGTGAGGCATTGGATGGCAGACTCGCATCCCATTGATATGATGTCCCAGCATTTAGAGATGTTGGCGTTAAATTCACATGTCTTCCCAGCATCTAGAACACCATAGGGCATGTGACATAGGACATATGTACTAAATATTTCGGTGAACCAATCAAAGGGAAGAGTGAGATGATACCATACATGCATTAAAGGTTCTGTCATTCCCTCACCATCTTTGTGTCTGAGGATTACCTCTGCTCATTGGATCGTTTACTACATTCTCCAAAACAGTAAACTTAGGTTTTCTCTCTCTGTTTTCTTTTAGTGGAGAAAGAGGATCGGGCAAGTCTGAAGCCAGCAAACAAATAATGAGACACCTCATCTGCAGGTCTCGCTCCAGCAGACCCATGTTTGATTCCAAATTTAAACATGTAAGTTTCTTGTTTGGGTTGGAGAATATGTTGAGTCAAGAAACCTGTAGTTTACAAATAAAAAGAGATATCATAGTAAGACCATAGTTTGACCATAAATTGGTCGAAGTTTGTAGAAACAAAGGAAAAAAAAGATTGGTGCAAATTAATGCTGCTCAAGTGAAGGTTTATTTTTTTGTACATATTTTCAAATACTTTGAACATACCCTTTTTATATTTGCTCAGAACAGTTGGATTGAAAACATATAATATACTTAGATTGTTGTTGTTCACCTAAAAAGTGCCACTTTGGTGTGTAGATTCCTTTGAGGGATTTGGCCCGATAAGCACCTCTTTTTGGGGGATCACTGAGAGCTGATAATAAAGTTTCAATGTATTTAAAAGAATTGATAACAGGAAATGTTAATGACATTGATGGGCAGGTAATATACCTTCACCCCCAATATTGATTTTTTTGACATACAACATTGTGTTAGTCTTAGGCATGCAACATAGTGATTGGATATGTGTATGGATTACAAAATGATCACCACAGTAAGTTTAATTAACATACATCACTACACATAGTTAAATTTTTTTGTCTTGTGCTGAGAACTTTGAAGTTTTGCTTGCTTAGCATCTTTCAAACACACAGAGCAGTGTTGCTCACCGTGGTCACCATGCTGTGCATTAGATCTACAGGACTTACTTATCTTATAACTGGGACTTTGTGCCTTTTGACTCCCTTTGCCCAGTTTAGAACTGATTTTAAGTTACATTCAGTAACACTTGCTTCTCATCGTGTTCCTTCATCCACCTAAAATATTGTCAGGATTCAAGGAGGAACCAGAAAGGCCTCTGAGCAGCTAAGATAAAGGTCAGAAAAACTCAGAAATTTTACCCAAGGACACACCTGCAGGTGCTTGTCTCTTGCTCTTGCACGGTTCTGTTAAGTTTGGTTAGCAGGTTTTCCCTGGCACAGTAGACTGGAGGAACCGACTCGGGAACTGCTAGAAAGATCCTGCAATGAGCGCTTGGGAACCCCCAGGGGGTGGGAACAGACAGAGAGAGATGATCAATAACCAATCAGGAAAATGGTCAGAACTCAGCAGTGTGCTACTCTGGGAGTCTCCATCTGTAGGGCTAACCCTCCAATTTCATCATTTTATAGGAAATAACTCTAGAATAATCCAAGTACGTGATGATTGTTCTCCTACATGCACCCCATTACTTGAGGGGCCGTGGGTCCTACACTCTGCGCTTGCTTGTGCTCAGTGGTCCCAGGGCTTGGTCCCTTCTGTGTGTGTCACGCTCTGTCCTAACCCCACCTGACCCCTTTCTTACCGTGTAGACTCCTGCCCGACAGCCTTCCTGGACATCCTACAGTGTGCCCCTAAGACATGGCCAGACCTGAATGCATGGGCTCGCACATTTCTCCAGCATTTCCTCCCAGGTCACCCATCAAATAAATGGCACAATCACTTTCTCATTTCCACGCTGGAAACTGGCTTCCACTTTGAGGCCAGCCCCTCCGGGCTTCCCCCAGGATCACAGTATCCCATCAGTCACACCAGCTGCTGTTTTCTTGTCCAGCCCCCTAGAGGTTCCCTGTTCCCTTAATCTTGCCAAAGCCACCTCTGAACGCACATCCCCCCTAACTGGGCCATGGGACCCCTGTCACTTAGTCATTTATTCAACAGTAACCTTAAGTGGCTGCCATGTGCATGTCCCTTGAATTCAGAGACACCATCTTAGAGCCTGCCACATAGTAGGAGATCGGTTTCCAGGTAGCAGAGGAATGAGGGCAGGCATAGGGTACCCGTAAGTATTCCTGGCACACCTGAGATACAGTTGATTATCCCAAGTTACCTAAATTGATGTACTTTAATAATAGCAAGTTAATTTAATGTGGATACACCATTTGTATGTCTTCAGGACCCTGTAAATTTTGCTGCGTGTGTGTGAGGATACACACCATCGGCCGTGTTGCCCCGGCACCCTCTCTCTCGGTGTGCATTTCACAGTGAGGTTTGGCAGGTGCACGCCTTGCCCCTCTAGAATCTCTCCTACACAAAACTTGCTGTGCACACATTTCATTCGGCAATTTGATATTTGGAGATGTCTGATGACATTGGAATAAAAACAGTTGCTGTTAGTTTAGATTATTCCCTAAAATGGTACCCTCTGAAAGTTCAAACGTTGAAGATCTAGAAACCCATCGCCCTGAGAGAATTGTGCTATTTGTGTTTGGTTTTCTGTCCCTGCCCTTTTGACTTGTAGCTGCAGGCCAGAGTTATTTCTGCCATGGTGGTGTTCACGAGGGAATATTCTGGACATTTTAGTACGCGATTCCTCATTTAGAAATGAGAGGGACTTCTATTTAATCGATGGATCAATGTAATTTCCTCATATTTTCTACTTTTGAAAAAGAGGTCCTTAAAAAATTAAATCTGCTCTTCTGGATTCCCAAACCTATGCCTGTTCTGGAGATTTTTCTCTTTGTGAAGAATGTACAGTCAATCAGTTCTGCAGCATATCTCTGGTGACATACGTGTTCATTAATGACTCTAATTCATAACCATTCATTAAGCTCAAACTATATACTGAGAACCTGCATAATTCTACCGCACAGCTCAAAATAATTTAATATTTTGGGTCGAACTGGGTAGAATAGCATAAATTATCTTTCTTCAGATGTTGTCAGATACGTACTACTGATACATAAGAATTCGAGAATTTATAGAACAACGTGGTTATAAAATAGACTTAGGTTAACTAATAGAATGATGGAATCTGTTGGCCTAATTATACTGGCAAGGAACAGTAGTCTCCAATGTAAATTTAGACTAAAGCAATCATTTATTAAAATGATCCTTTGTGAAAGAGCAAGCTGCATAATTTCTAAACTGCATTCTAGATTACTTTATGTAAATTGGCTTTGCATTTTAGCTTAAGTGAATACATACTAAGTTGCATTTCTTTAGCTAGATATAACTCTTCCAAATCAGTTAGCATCTGGGAATCAATATTATGATATCCATGCAAATTTCAAGTACAACTATTTCTAATTCACGTGTTTGTTTTATTCATAAATCCTAAAATAAGTGATTTCTAGTCTTGTGAAATAATATTGCCCAGGATTGAGTATGGCTTAAACTTCATGTCAATTATGCTTTTTTTTGTTGTTTCTCTCTAAATTACAATCCTCATGAATATTGTTTGGTGTCCAAAGCATTCCTGAAAATTACCCAGTCCATTTTTGCACAGTGCCCAAGTATACGTGTGGGAATTAAATACAAGTGTTGGATAAACTTCTGAATTGACTGTAAATCTTTATAACATCATAGGGGTTCAGTGAAATTTTATACATTCCAGAGATGGGCCCGTACTTCCTGCATGAAAGAAAAGTCTGATTAAGGAGATGAGTGCCTAAGAGCATCCTTGATGGTGGAGCCTTCAGTAGAAGGCTTGAAGTTCAGCGCAAGGTGGGGTGAAAGGAAGCTTCGTTAGGTGACCCCTGAAAGGAGAAACGTGGGTGAGCTGAATAGGAAAGCCATTCAGCCCAGACCCTATGGTGCAACATCGCTCTGAGGCTCTGCACCAGCAGGCGCGGTGCGCGAGGCTGCCCCATGGGGCCGCGTGTGCGATGAACACCCACAGGGCGTCTCCACTGGGGATGCTGGCTGCCTCTAGCCCACAGTTTTGCCCTGGTCTTAGGATACTGCGAGAGAAAATCAGTTATTGGAGGTTATTCTGATCAGCAGTTTCTGAAGAAGAGTGAAGGAAGGGTGGGGACATGAAAGGCGTAGTGGGGTGGCCGTCAGCAGAGAATCCTGTAAGCTGAGGCATAGACAGTGTTTTCCTTGTGGTTTCCATTGATGACCTAATTAAAGATTATTATCTGGAGCGTGGGGAGCAAAAGGACAAAGTGAAGAGGTTTGGGGGCAAGTTGGCTGTTGATAATCCCTCCTGACCCGTAAGCAGCGCTCTCCGCCGGGGGCACAGAGGGGAAGAGGGGGATCCGGGTGGGGTCTGGAAGGCCAGGGAGAGCCCGGCTCCGAGTCCCAGACATGATTTGTAATATTTTCATGCCGGCCACACATGTATTATCAAGAGACACTCGGCCGTCATGTTCCTGCATCTTAATCTTATACTTCAGTTGTCCTGCTTCAAACGTCTACGGAGGTTTACATTCTGCCCTCGCAATGGGCTTCCAAGTTCAATGGGTTTGAACTCCATCACCGTGGAGGTGTCTTTTGATACCCCTGTACAATTTCAGAACAGCTAAGATCAGTGAAGAAGGCTGCCGTTTTTAACCCTCATATCTGAATTTCAAACTGGAGAAGCAGGGGATTTTCTGTGGCAATAGGTTTATTGGAACATAAAAATCATGTGTTGGGGGAAAAACCAACTGCCTGGTGCTTTTCACTAATTCTGGCCCAGATGACTTTCAAATTGGAGGAACATTCAGTTCCATTTAAATTGCTTAAATAAACATTTATTGAGTAACTGCTTTTACAGAGCAGAGTGATGGGGTCCACTTGGTTAAGCCATTGTTTTTTATTGAGGAAGCCACAAATTTTTACTCTCAGAAAATACCGTACGTTAACTACTGCCAAAATAGGAGTGCAAAACTTCTAGAGACACAGCTATTAAGGCTTTGGAAGAAAAAAACATACAATTGTAAATAGAAAAAAATCTTACCACTAAAATTTGAATTGGGGACTACTTAGGAAATATTTACTTACTTCCCTTTTCTATATTTTTATTTAAAGCTTGGTGTTATGCAACGTTCTCATTATTTTCTTTCAAAGTTAAGGTGAGCAATGAACAATACCAGTTGTGGTTTTTGTTTTTGTTTTTGTTTTTTTTTTTTTGGTATTTCTCTTAACACATTGTTATTTAGCGCCACCTATTGGCCAAAGGGATAATTAAAGATAAAAAATGTTATTCCGGTATAACCCGAATCTGAAGCTTGAATTACGGATCAACAGAGCATAGTGCAAGATTGCCGTATGAGCTCTTGCATTTTGCTCAATGGGTTTAGCTTCCTATAGTTTGAAGCCTTCTGTGTCCTTGCTGTGGTTCTAGCTGTCACGGCCTGTCACCCAGTGAGGAAGCACATCTTATTTCGCAGAGAGATTGCCTGGGTTCAAATCCCAGCTCCACTATCTCCAAGCTCTCAACCTTGGGGAAGTTATGTAAGCTCTCATTTCCTTTTCTACAAAACGGAGACACTGTTGTGAGCATTAAAAAATATATAGGCATAAATGTACATACACATGTATATCTATGTGTACAGAGTATACATAATTTTATATATAACTTCATTTATATTATATATGTTATATATAAAAAACTTTAGAATAATGCTTGACACAGAATAAATTTTGCTACTATTATTAACAAAAATAAAACTAATCGTTGTTAAACTTTGTTGGATGCATACCATGTACCAGGCACGAAGCTGAGAACTTCATACAGCTGACATTGATGAGCACTGAAGGAGTCATACCTGTGTTAAAATAAAGGAGAATGTGGTTCTGGGAATTCATGACACTGGCTTAATGTCATATAATTTGTTACTAGCAGAGCTGGAATGTGGGGGCAGCTCCTTCTCACTCCAAAGCCCACGTATTGAACTGTTACCCTATATATCCTGTTTGAGCACATGTTATTCTTTATCTTTTATGTCTCTTTTCTATAATAACAAGCCAGTTTATTTTCAGATATAGCACCAAAATAGCTAGAAGCCAGAATACTTTAAAAAAATTCATTCTAATCCTTGTTATGAATTTTTAAATGATTATTAAATGTAATTTACGTGTTGAAAATGTGATTTACTTACACTATTAATTCCACAATATATTTCTTTAATATTGAACTATTGGAAAAGAAGCAGAAAGCAGGACCTTTAAAAATACTATTTCAAATTATTTTTCAGAATATATATCTGCGGTCATTACTATCGATTCACTGTTATGATCTTTAAAATTAGGTTATTACAAAGAGACCTAAATCCTGGGCTTTCCTTAAAGATT